CTTTTGGAAGGCGTTGCGAGATCGGTCAATGTGGTTCAGATCCTGCAATGCTTCGCCCAGTTGCTCTAACTTCATTGGAAGAAGCCCACTTTCTCGCTCGGATGGCGACCGGGATTGCAAAAGATCAATCGAACGCTGCATGGCTACAACAAGGGCTTCGGGATTGCATCGCGCTCTCCGTAGTTGTGAGTATAGAGACCAGTATGCATTTGACAATCTGACCAGGTACGCGCCGACGAGAGAAGTGTTCTCCCCTCCCGGAAGCGTCCCATGTTCGATCTCTTCGTCGAATCTGCGTACGATATGTGCGCATTCCTGAAGAATGGTATCAAGCTCTTGCCATTGGTCTTGCGTCTTTATCGTCTGCTTGCAACATGCCATCAGAGAGTCAACCGTACTCTTCGCACATTTCCAGGCCAGGCTAATTCTTTCAGAGTGTCGGTTTTGCGATTTCGTGTCTGATTCACTCGACGATGAAGTACCGAGAAATCTGGCAAAGAAGTGCACGCTTGCTGCAATGATTGGTACCGCAAGTTGTTCGATCGGATTTCTTTCAGAATTTTCTGTGGTTTTCGACGTACGCGCAATGATTAATCGTGTCGCAGCGCGTCGCAGAGAATTCACTTCCGCAAATAAGGTTTCCAGATCGGACATAGATCCACCTAAGCCTCCATGCAAAACACCAAGTGCAGTGGCGATGGTTTCCTCCAAGTCCGACTTCTTTTCGCCCTTCACATACACTTCAATATTAATGATAGCAATCCGTATCGCTCTTGTTGTTTGCTTTGCTGCGGATGGATCAGGACTCGAAGCCTCTTTTGACGACCCTAGCCACCGGAGGGCCTGATCAGACAAGTCCGCAGCTTGAGCGAGAGAGGAGAGAGTCTTATTCGCAGCGGCCGGTATAGTGGACTCAGTCGGGAGTCCTGCTAGATCGATATACAAGGTTTCGGCGATTTTGAACTTCTTGCTGGGTTTGAGTTTCGATCTGCGGGCGAAAGCAACCAAGCACTTTGTAAAGGGTTCTAAGAGTTCCCGATCAACGTTGCCTTGATGTTTGGCCAGGCCCCACCACCTTTTCCGGGTATTGAAGGCCAGATGTTGTAAAAGAAGTACTGTCTCCGCTGAAGGTTGTAGGTTGTTTGCGTCTTCTGCGCTCGATATGCTCGGGCATAGAGAGAGAATCGTCTGCGCCAGGGACTCCAACTGTCTCGCCGCCTTCGCTTGGCCGTTCGAGGTCTTCGCAGTGTGCCAGAGCAGATTCATAGGTGACGAGGGGTTGGTCATTTTGAGATATTCCCACGTGGCTTCGATAGTCCGGGGCCTCTTCAGCTTCGCGATAATGCGCAACGTGTATATCTGGAAATTCGCTACCAATGTCACAGCAGGACTCTTCGGGTCGATCGTCGCAAAATCGAGAAGTAACGCAATGCTCTCTTTCTCTGCAGTTCCCTGCTGCGGTAGACCAGATTTGGGCTCCTCCTTTGCTGGCTCCTGACCAAGATATCTATCCAGCTTCTTCTTCAAACCCCTCAGTTCTTTGACTGCCATGTTGTCTAGACCAAGCGCGACAAGCTTGCCAATAAGCACGAGCACGCCATTCTCGTATTGCAATTCTTGTGAGTCCTTTCCCAGTACTCTCTGTGCGTCTGTTGTACCCAGGTATGCAAATGCTGTCCTTGCGCACTCTGCTGTTGCGAGAAGGCCAGGGTCTGGGCCCGGTGCGAGGAAGGACGAATATGACGATGACCGACGCGGGGCGCGCTTTTGGGGCGAGTTGTTGAGCTGAGAGACAGAACGTTCTCTGAGAGGCTTCTGGGATACGGAGGAACTCGCCGTATGACCGGGTCGCGGTCTTGCAGGCTTGCGCGCATCTTCGGCGGTCGTTGGCTTCGATTTGGTAGGGGGGCGAGCGGCGACTGCGGGCAGCGGGTTCTTCAGCGCATCGGCGAGTGTCTGAAGAGTCGTGTTGGCCACTTCAGTTGCTAGTACGTATTTTTCCTTTGGCGCAAGGGTCGAGTGCTTCTGCTTGGTGATATCCACTGTCGCTGTAGCCGTTGCTGTCGCGCCTCTCCTCCGTGCCGTAGCCTGCACCTTTACTCGGACATTCTCCTTTTGCGGTTCATCCTCCTCTTTACCGGCCAATAAGTCCTGAAGCGCCGTCACCGTGGTGTTTGTGCATGTCGTAGTTGACCGTAAGTCTGCTTTAATTCGGTCGATGCGCGTGCGCATCGTCTCGTTTTTGGTTGCCATTTGTGATAGCTTGGTGGGATGGTCTTAGTTGCAAAGTTTCAAAAGGTTCGTACATTATACATTATTAAGAAGACGGGTGCGCTGATAGGTATGGTGTCGTTCAATGTCGTCGCGCACGTCACCCAAAGACCGCAGCCAAACAACTCGAAAACACGCTACCGCATCTGGCTAGCGTTGGGCCCCCTCAGCCCTATCTTCGAGAAGGCGCGACCGTTGAGCCGCATTATGGCTTCTGATTCTGTTAAGTAGTCCGTCTAACTCTCGCAACGCGCGTATTTTCTCTATCACCACCTTCATCGCCTAGGAACAATCTTGTTGCAAAAATCCGTCACTAACCTTGGCTTTCGAGCAACGGGTGCAAGATGCGGCGTGAATCACACCCGCATATGGACAAAAGCCAATATTATGCGAATCGTCAAGCAGACCATTGGCTCATTTCGCACAGCACAAGTCGATGTCGAGCGATCATCAAAGGAATCAAGGCGATTACAATTCCAGCAACGACCTTCACGCAGCGGTGTGCATGCGCTATTGGTGAGTCACGAGAAGGCTAGATGTGTTATATAGATCACCAAGAACCCCCTTTGAGCTCTAGACAAAGACTGTATGAGCACATACTGGAGCAGACTTGAAGACCCGCCTCGATACCTGCTGCGAATAGCATGTATTGGCTATAGTGACATGTCAACATCTTCACACCGATGCTTGTGCAGTTCCAGCCTGTTGGTGCACCTAGTATTGAGCGTCCAACCAGTCGGTCGTGGATGAGATAGGGATATACGCATTGAGCTCATGATCGACTTCGCGTAGACGGATATTTGTTTCCACCTCGGCGGAACCACGCCACAACAATGCAGACTGTGCGTCGTTGAACTACGTCTTCCTGACTGAACCTTATTCCAACTATACCACTCGACGTTTGATATAGTTGTTGTGCAGAATGTAACGGTGTGGGGTACGGGTTCTCGTCGTTTGTTGGTGGGGCATCTATGGTAACTTCAATTGGTGCGTAGCAACGTTGGAACAGTCTCACTCAGACGTAGCTCCGTAGCGAGCTCCTGTGACATCTGCTATCTGACTACAGCGCCGACGCTTTAGTAGCAACAGGGCGTAGCTGTAGTAACTAATGGTGAGCAGACTCTTCTTGAAACCTTGACTACGTCTCGCTTGATCTATACCGGCTTACGTGGGAGTTGTACGCAACGAAAGTCACTACACGAGCATTCTTCTCACGATAAGGAAGAGCCAAGGTCCAAGCAAGCGAGTCGCCGGCAATAGAGGGACGCCGCAGTTGATACGAAGAAGAAACCTGCATCTCACTTTCAGCTCGAGACAGCCACGGCGCTGTGTAGTAGTAGGATTATGCCTAAAGTCACCTTGGCTTGGTCCTTCGTCTTGAAGCCGAGGCATCTAAGCTAGTCTAGCTTTTCGTTACTCTGCCGTTGCATGATATTGGCAAAACGGTGCGTATGACCATCGGGTATCGAGTAGTAGCGCCATCGATCACACACGGTTGACCGGATCTGGGGTAACGGAGCACAAATGGCTCATCGCTAAAGCGACCTTGGCTTGCGCACCTCCTGTACAGATTTTCTATGAGCCCGGACAGGTAGCAGACGTCCATCTTACACTTCCATACATGAGGAATTCGGACAGTCAGCTCAGCAGTGTGTGTAAACGTTAAAGATTAGTAACCACGACGCCAAAGCGACACGAATCCTTACGCTGTCCTCGTATCTGGGTACATGACGGCTATAAGCAGGCCACTTGGCGCTATGCCAGATCTCGAGCCATGGCCGTTGTGTCTTGTCGTCGTCAAGGTGGCTTGCAGATACGAGAGATCCTTCAAGGAGAGATTGGCTGACCGGCTAATGTTGTACTACCTGTTGGAGGCTGGGATTTCTTCGGCTCACCAATCTCTGCCAGGCAATGCCTATGAGCAGACGGAAAATTCACGTTGTCGTGTCAAGCCTCTTCGCCTCCCTTCCAAGGTTCCAAGGTTTCAAGATTTGCTGATGGTTCCACGCAGTCAGCTCTTCCGTTCGCGTATCGAAGCCGCGGTCCTGTTCGGTGACGGGCTCGGAGTCGCTTCACAAACTATAATTGCCATTGATATAGCCTTTATATCGGTGCGATTGGTGTGCCAGACGGGATGCGTTGCAGATATCCAGGTATCGCGCATCGTTCCACGATATACTAGATCCAAAGAGGTAGACGGCCCCACCGTTGTTCGGCTTGCGGGGTAAACTCAAGTCCTGCTGGTACCTCGCATGTACCTCGAGGCTCCTCGCCCAGGTGGTCTCGACGCTGCTTATATTAAATGGTACCGGTCCCACGGGCCATCTTCAAGGCTGGATCGAGCGCGGGTAGAGGGTGAAACCCGGTCGTGTGTCCAAGTACGCTCTCTACCATCATGCGTTTCCTTGGTACGGAGAAGCCAAGTCTGGGGTACTATGAATTGACTCTGTTAGTACCTTTGCAGACCCTGTTGTCAGGACTCAAACGCGCTGCATAGCATCCCGAGAACCCGTCCAACAACGGAGCCCTGCCGCCCTCACCATTTAGACGCCTTGGTAGTGGAAGCAGAATGCATCAGCTGTAGACTAGATACGCCGCTCATACGATGATGACGGAGCTACTCTGCACCCAGGTAGCGGTTCATCATGCGTACGAGCTTTCTGCAGGAACGCTGTTTCACCACCGCAAAACAATTGCACGTGGCGGTCGAATAGGAGATGTATGAACCTGTCTATCGTCATCCAACAATAGATGATCGTTCCGTGGCGCAGCATGACGCTGGAAACTTCTGGAACGCGTCAAGACGGTCCACGTAACAGCACGCTTGCTTTTCTGGCCAACAGGGCGGTACATTCTGGCGCGTCAGAACTGCAAGTTTTGATTGTGGACGAGTATGCATGCGGACGCAATCCAGCGCTTCGACCGCCTCGGTCTGCAAGCCTGGTATTCGGGATGGCGCAAGTAGTTCTCATGTCTCCCGTCGTCCGTGATGGTACGAACCACGGTAGTTGCTGGCCGGTGGTAATCTGGCGGCGGCAGTCAGTATCCGCGCGACTCGTGGGCTCAGCGAACGCATTTGAATAACGGTGTGTCAAATGAACCCACCGGCAGCGCGAAGAGATATGCCAGTTCGGCCCGCGCAACGAATACCAAGGGGTTAACATTTCTCCAACAATCAACCCCCTGGCTAACAGACGCCTAGAGCACATTCGGTTAGTACGAGTGTGCCTGGCATCGCATCCTCCACAGTCGCCTAATTGCCCAGCCAGACCCTCCCCCGCAACTGAGCACGGCAAAAGAAGACGCCAATGTTGCATTCGATTCAGCGGAGGTTGGACGACTCGTCGAAAAGGAATCCGGACCGCACAAGCTGCGGCGCAGTTGGCAGAGGCGAACGCCTCATCAAAGACCAACCATGGCGTTCAAGCAACAAATTGCGCAAAACTATGCGAATACGCATCAGCACGGCGAGACCGCGGATGGCACCGCTTTGTGGCACTGCAAATCTTTGTCGCATTCGGCCTCCTCGCAGGCATTACTGACCCTGAAGACCATTCGGAAGCAGGACAGGGGCGTGCTCCACGTGGTGGCGGCGGATTGTTGTTGTTCTTTTCCGTCCTTTGCCGCTTGAAACTCACACGCGACAACATCTTGGTGTCTGCACAGTCAAGCTTACTCGTCCCTGACAAGGAGCACCCAGCCTGTCTACGCTCAAGCAGTGGAGTCGCCCGGCGGGCCCGAGTACGGCATGCCTCTCGAGTCGTCTCCCTGTATCAGAGGGGCACCTGAAGCCAATATTGGGCGTCCGCTCGGCTGGCAATACACTCGCTGATTGACAGGGGACGGAAGCTACCTGGACGCAATGGCCCATGTCGAACTTACTCTCATCAACCCTGCAACTGTAGCGTGCTGAGAAGCTTAGCGATCGTCTAGGACCCCTCCACGCAGTCCAACATGCCGCGTCTGGGGCACCTGCATTTCCGTTTGGCCCGGTACAGAAGTCAGTTGGACGATCTCCTTCCTTTCATGTGTTCGGTCCATATCAGGGCACACTGCTCCACTCAGACTAGCTGTTGGCATCTATTGACATTATTTCCTATATCCTTCGCACATGCCCTAAGCTGTGGATCTTTCTCGCGGAGAATACCTTTAGTGTTGACTCCTCCTTTGTGCATACAACAAAGCCAAGCCCCATCCCACCTGACCTACTCAACCTGTCTGACCGTTCAACAACGTCCTGTCACATAGTAGCCTGCTAATTGGCGCTCGACAAATCGTGGGGTGATCACTGGATCTCACAGGGCACGAGACCGAAATTGCTTCGTTGCAGGCGCGATTCGACGTTTTGCTGCTTGCCGGCCATGGTCTCTGGATGAGCTGAGAACAGAACTACCTCCGGCCATCTTATCGGGCCGCTCCAACACTCATACGACGATCCGTTGCAACTATGGCGCCCTACGATATGGCCATTATAACCTCCGCCCTGGAAGACCGTTCTCTCGAAAAGCGATACTCCGCAGTCGAAGACAGCATGGATCCGCTCACCCCAGTCTACAGGGCGGGGCTCATTCCCCTCGGTATCTTTGCCATGATGAGTTTACTATCAGTTACGGCCCTGCTAGGATTCATCACCCAACGAATGATCTCGTGGCGGAGACACTACAGACAATACGTCGGATATAACCAATACGTTATCCTCATTTACAATCTCTTAATCGCAGATCTGCAACAATCCATCGCATTCTCGATATCCTTCCATTGGCTTCGAATCAACAAGATCGTAGCACCTACTGGCGCATGTTTCCTCCAGGCCTGGTTCCTGCAAATTGGGTAAGCATCATCCCCATAGGACGCACATGTGATATAGATACTGACTGTGCACACCTGGATTTAGCGATGTCGCAAGCGGTTTCTTCGTCCTCGCAATCGCGATACACACCTGGTTGGGCGTGGTCAAAGGATACAAACTGCCATACTTTTGGTTTGTGGTGTCCATTCTTTCGATCTGGTTTTTCGCATTGATCCTCACGGTAATTGGACCGGCGATGTACCAAGAGCGATACTTCGCTCGTGCTGCAGGATGGGTACGCATATCTGTCTCCGAATTTCCTCCATCAGGGAATTGATTGGACTGACTCTGAATAGTGCTGGGTCTCCCACAACTACCAAAGCGAAAGGCTTTGGCTACACTACCTGTGGATCTTCATTGTTGAGTTTGGCACAATCATCATTTACGCCCATGTCTTCTTCCACCTGCGCGGCCGCATCCGGAGTATCATCGCGAACGACACTAGCAAACTCACACGCGCGACCAAGTTCATGGTCATGTACCCTTTCGTATACGTCCTCCTCACACTGCCCATAGCTGTGGGCCGCATGGTAGCGATGACTGGTCATCCAATGCCAGAACTCTTCTACATTGTTGCTGGCTCGCTTCTCACATCGTGCGGCTGGATCGATGCGCTCCTGTACACCTTGACACGACGGGTTCTAGTCTCTGGAGACTTGAGCACAGGGCACTACAACAGAACAGTCACTGCGACCCTCACGAACGCGGCACGACCAGGCGACGACGATCATTACGGCTTACATTCCATGAGCAACAAAGAACCCCTCACATCCACTGCCCGCACCGTCACCATAGTAGGCGGCAGCAACAGGCTATCACGAATAGTGGATCACCGCCGCGGGCGCAGTTACACAACGCGGTCACGACTCGAAGACACGCTACACGAGGACGATAGTCCAACACGAGCAGGATCACAAGATTCGATAATCAAGAACACACCCCAGGGGAACGGCATCAGCATTATCACAGAGACAAGTGTGCAGGTGGAGACTGCTGAGGACAAAGAGTTCGAAGCGGGAAGGCCACGATCAAAAGACTGGAATGATAACTACAGTCGAAGGTCATCATGAGACGGTATACTTTACATACCCTTGACCTAGTCTTAACGACGTGGTCATGTTAGTCTATCCGCAGAAATACCTGCACTGCACACCGACCCCGTTGTCCCTACCTCGACTCGATACTACTTGTACACTACCGTTTGTTCAGCACGAAAAGCGTAGGCGTTGGACTGGCGCGACTTACTGTTTCCTTTGTTTCTAAGCTATGTCGTACTACACTGTCTACCAAGAGGTAGCATTGAGATACCCGAATACAAATAACAACTACAATTTTCAACGTACACTCATCCAACTTAGTCTACCGTTCCACAACATGTCAGTGTCTGAGTTCGATGTGAAAGCGCAGTACCGTCTACGCTGGTAGAGGGCAACAGTACTACAAAACTTCAATACGTACTGTCAGTCCTGACTCTACCTGCCTACCTGCAGAGGATAATAGAAGTAAAGAGCCCAGAAATATACATTGTGTCGAGATCTTCCTAAGTTGCATAGTCAATAATAATATAGTCTCTAAGGTATCGGTTTTGACCTTTTCTTAAACAGAGTGATATCGCGAGAAATCTGCTCTGGCAGAGAGCACAAGTATAAATCCCACCCCTTGTTAATCCCACTCCACGTTTCACGTTATCGAAATCACTAGCCTTGTGTAGTGTTTAGCAGGTACTCGGAATACGGTGCGAGGTTCCTTGTAAACCTTACGCCTAGTGTATCCGCGCGAACGACGGAGTGCTCACCGGATTCCGGGACAGCCTCACGCTAAGCAGTCTAGATCGGTTGCTTCCATATCGTACCATTCGTATCACGGGCGTGCTTCCTATGTTCCACGAGATGAACGCCGACTTGATGACACTGGAGCCGGTTTCGTACATAAGATTTTGAGAGCGGAAAATAGCTTGGACGTTTGCCGTGTTCCGGGTCACCATGCCAAAGAATTGGAAGTATTGTGTCAAACGATCTTGCGAGAGCGTAATGAACGCTCACCCTGCATAACACGCAGCACTCGTTCCTTAGATATACAGAATTAAGCTGTGGTAGCTGTAACAAAAGAGCCCTGGAGTCGAACACCTACCTCTTAGAAGTCTACGTTGCCTTAGGATTTCGTCAATGTTAGCTTTTATGCTGATGTAGGGGGCTGGGCATCTTTTCACGAGTTTCCTTGTCCGAGGTGCTAGTACACGTAATTCTCGATGGTGGTGATAACTGAGGTCATACCGTATACTGTGCAACCAGGTGCCGAAAGAGTATACTGTGGCGCGTGCATGGCATTCCGCAGGACTCTGCAGGAAAGAGAGCCAATGGAAGCATTAGTCGCAGGTGTGGGCTTCGTACGACCGGATTATGGGAACATAGTGAAGACAGTTGACAGCGATGAAAGACAACGAGAGGCTGAACACTTCAACACAAGCAAGACACTGCATAGACTGGGACTGGAGGATGATGTTTATTGGCGTGAGGGGTCACTCAAAGCCATTTTGGCACACCACTGTATCTGCACCATGATATCGCCGGTTTCCATGCGTAAGAAAGTGCAGAAGGAGAATAATCGAGAAGTCCGAGAAACCACGCCGTTGACCATCCGTATCCCATTTTGCCAGCCAATCCACCCGGACCCACTTGTCCACGTCTAGATGTAAGTCTCGTAAGGCACGGGTGTGATGTTCTCCGGCTTCTGCTCCTTGAGGCTGACAATGTGCTCGGTGCGGGGCTGTGCGGGCTGGCGCTTCATCTGTTGGGGCTCGCCAGTCTCCTTGGCCTTTTGTTGCTTGGCGAAGTTGAGCTTGACGCGCTTGAGGAAGTCCTCTCGTGAGCGGGAGTGGCGGACGTGCTCGATGCGGACGTTGATGCGCTTCTCCATGTATCGGTTGCCGACTTGCTTCTGGAGGATAACACCGACGGCGGACTTGGTGACGTTGTAGACGATACCGGTCTTGCCGTGGTAGACCTTGTAGGGCATACCCTTCTGGACGGCACCTGTTTTGCATGAGTCCTCCGCTTCAACCGCTTTCGCTGTGGATCTGGGGTTTCGTACCGTTGGCTACGACATCGACGATATCACCGACCTTGTACTGCTTGAGGTAGGTCGAGAGAGGGATCATACCCTTCTTCTTGAAGTCTCTCGAGAAACTGTCGCAGCGTCAGCAATCGTCGCATGGGGTGTCGCAATCATTCCAACGTACGCATAGCGCGTACCCGCGCGGAGACCGGCTGCGTGACCCATTGTGTATGAATTTGTCCTGGTGTTGGCTTCGTTGACGCTGGTGTTGTTCGACTGTGGAATATTTGGTGACCGCGCACACTGCCTCGCTACGCATTGACCACGTCGGTGGGGCGGGTCCCGAGCCCACCGTGATTTTGAACACCAACTTCTCTCTCAATCGCAGACTCCTCCTCATCGACAACCACAATGGCGCCTCCCCGTTCCTACTCCAAGACGTACAGCGTCCCCCGTCGTCCTTTCGAGTCCGCTCGTCTGTATGTGCAACCCCATGGCCACTGAGCGAGAGCGTGCTCCGCTTATGTCTGGGACACAAGTTAATGTTGGGTTAGGGATACTGAGCTCAAGCTCGTCGGCGAGTATGGTCTCCGCAACAAGCGCGAGGTCTGGCGTGTCCAGTTGACTCTGTCCAAGATCCGTCGTGCCGCTCGGTGAGTGCTCATTGTCCTCGTCTGCGCGCAATTGATGCGCAGGCTGCGAGATGCGAATTTGCTAACATTTCGCAGTTCGCTCCTTACTCTCGACGAGAAGGACCCCAAGCGTCTCTTCGAGGGTAACGCTCTCATTCGCCGTCTCGTGCGTGTCGGTGTCTTGGACGAGTCCCGCATGAAGCTCGATTACGTCTTGGCCCTCAAGATCGAGGACTTCTTGGAGCGCCGTCTCCAGACCTGCGTCTACAAGCTCGGTCTTGCCAAGTCTATCCACCACGCTCGTGTCCTGATCCGCCAGCGCCACATCCGGTATGCATCCCCCCGTATGAAGCTCGAGAAGCGCGCGACTAACAATATCACAGTGTCGGCAAGCAGATCGTCAACGTCCCCTCCTTCATGGTCCGCCTCGACTCCCAGAAGCACATCGACTTCGCTCTGACCTCGCCATTCGGTGGCGGCCGCCCTGGCCGTGTCAGGAGGAAGAAGGCCAAGGCCGCCGAGAAGGGTGGTGACGAGGACGCCGGCGAGGAGGACGAGGAGTAGACTTTACGCCAAAAGGAATGATTCATGGACGAAAGGCGTTAGGCATGATGGGATGAATCTCTTTGACAGTCATCCTGTCCTTGAAAGCACTATATACCTTCTGGGTCTCAGCTGGTGGATGATCTACATATACTTCATGTAGACACACCCAAAAATCTTCAACTGCCATCGTCTGTCTTATTTCACTTACAATGCTGTGATAGTGTACATGATGCCTGGCCACATATTGTTTGTAGCGGTCTCATCGACAATGTGCGGAAGTTTGCCTGTGGCTGAGTTATCGGCAGAGCCCACACTACCTAGGGTATCTACGTAAGGCTTGATCGGTGCACTACGTCGTACCGGAATCGCTGACCTCTAGCCTGTCACGCGCATACATTACACAAGGAAGATACTAGACAACTGCCTATTAGAAGTCTAGTTCAATAAAAGCCTTCGATCGACATATTTCGATATACTCTTTCTACGTGATATTCTTAGTACTCAGAGTCATCGGTATACAACCGCGTCTGCGGGCTAGGTCTCTTTCCCTCTAACGACAGCCCAGCCGCGACCCTTTCCTCACCCACCTTGGCCCTCGCCTCCTGCATGATCCACAACCCAGAACTAGTTCCTAGCCTTGTTGCGCCAGACTCCAGCATCTTGACCGCGGTGTCCAAATCCCTGACTCCACCGCTCGCCTTGACCTCCATCTTCTTCTTGCCTATTTTGGCCGATGCGAGGTACTCTGCCGCAGCTACCATAAGCTGCACGTTGGGCAAATTAGCGCCCGGTCCGTTGAAGCCAGTGGATGTCTTGATAAAGTCAAAGCTAGCGGCGGCTGCAAGATGAGATGCAGCGAGGATTTGTGCGGAGTTCAGTTGCGAGGTTTCGAGGATGAGTTTGAGTGTTGTTGGGGCAGGGCAGAGGCTTCTTATGCTAGCCAGTTCTCTGTAGATTGCGCTGTAGTCGGGAATTTCGTCTGAGTCCTCCTCGCTAAAGTCGCTGGCTGAGCTGCTTCCAGCATTCTTGGCCGTGTTGGCAGCGGTGATGCTGTCAATCGCTGAGTCCCGAGCACTGAGGATGTGCTCCACTGGCGGGGAAGCACGGCGGTTGTGCTTGGTGAGGAGGGAGTAGTTGAGGACGACATCGAGTTCCCTCGCGCCTGCTGCCACTGCAGCACGTGCCTCTTGCAGCTTGTAGTACGTGTCTTGGGTTCCTTCATGGAAGCCTACGACGCAGGCTACAAGCACGTCCGTACCTTTGAGGTTGGAGACACAGCGTTGGACATAGTTTAGGCGAACACAGACTGACTGGAAATCTTGTCAGCTTGGTTTTCTCGGGAGCGGTGAGGTGTAGCACGTGTCCCAGCTCTAAACTCTAAGGGTGTGACTGTGCCTCATCCCGAAGAAACACCACCGAACCTGTGGAAGCACATACTTTGAAGTTCTCTGTTCTTGCCTCGCCGCACAGCCCATCAATCATCTTTGTCGTCGCGTCCAACTTGAGTACCGTGTGGTCCACCGTCTTGGCCAACTGCTTCAGCGCTTCATCTCCATTCCTCATCCGCGGGCCCTCGTAAATCTTCCTCGCCCTCTCTCCACTTTCCACCTCTTTGATGACATTCTTAATCGTTTGATCAATTTGCGCTTTCCATTCCTGGTTCGTAAAACGATCAGTCATTATCTCGATAGGGTTTGATTTGTCGTCGCAAAGATCCGGGTTGGCTGCGAGGAAACCGCGGATCAAAACTTCGGACTCCGTCAGAGGGATGGGGTGGGGGTTGGTTGGGGCTCCCGCGCCTGCTGTGGAAGAGGTGGACATTTTGAACGACGCGCTTGCAAATATTTGTTTATTGATCTTGTGATTGTCCACTGATCTATTTTAGTGGCTGTCGAACCGTGAGCCGCGGATGCGCGAGCGAACGAGAGGGCGAGTGGAAGTATTGACGATGACGTGGGGTGGCTTGCTCTCGACTCGTGTCCAATCGTTAATTGAAATAAGCACTTTAGGCGAACGGTTATGCAGCGGCGTTGTCTCCTGGTCTTTAAGACAAAAGTGGCTGTTTCGACGGCTATTATGTAGGAATCGTGAAGTTGGCGGAGGTCGGCGTTTTGCTCGTCATGTGGCTGCTTGTAGGGAAGGTGCGATGAACCGGGTAGGGGTCTCGGCCATGCTTCCCCACTTGGAGAGCAGAATCATCCTGCCAAGAATGATGTCCTTCTTTTCTAGGGAAAGAGCAATTCTCATTGCGATGCTAGTAAGTTGTGACCGTTTCTGTTCCACACGAGATGGTACAGTACCCGTATATGAGCTGGTGTCCATTATAGACGGACTTTGATCAAGTCGGTGTATAATACATGGATGTAGACATGTTGTTCACAGGATAATTCTGGGTCACTTCTTTGCTGAGAAACGAATGTGAGGAATTGACGCTTTGATTTACAAAGGACCGCTAGCATGCGTAGGTGTCCTCGATTGCAAGCCGGTCCTCACCTCGGACGACTGATCCAAAGGCTCTGAAATGCTATCTCTCCTCCCACATGCATGTACATGAAAGCTGAAAGACCATGCCGAACAAAAGGAAATAGATTCGAGGAAAAGGGTGGTCCATCAGCGCTGAGATATCCGGAACTCCCGTTTTTGTGACTTTTGCATTGACTCGAGTCGAAAGATCCCTCTTCTATCCTGCGGTCGAGTCGATCGGCGCCAATGAGATCTACACCCCTAAGCCATGATAGTCGTCATCGTAACCCATCAATCCCCGCTGTCATCACATCGACGAATCGCCTACTTCCTTCGGAAAGAGCAGCCCTCGGTCAACCGCGCCTTGCCACCGGTGGGCTGGCACCTGTGAATGCATTAGCCCATGCCCTGTATCAATATCCATTTGTCCCAAACTTACAGGACCTGCGAGCAGCCCTGGCAGACGACGACTGTGTTGGCGTGCGAGAAGACGGTGGTGATGGTGAAGCATCCAGGGCACTTGACATCCATGAAGAAGGAGCGGGGAGCGGGCACGAGGGTCTTGAGCTTGTGCTTGCGGGCCTCACTATACGCTTGTTAGTCGCAGGTCGGAAGCGAAAGGGCGGGAATGTATGCGTACGCGGCCGGGGAGGGGTTGAGAAGGTCAACTGCGAGAACCTGGGATATTGTTAGTCCAAGGTCCTCATTGAGACAACTTTTGCGCAGGGCGAGGCGGCGAGAGGTTGCGAATTGAAGATGCTGTGGCAAACTCCGGGCGTCTCGTGTGCCTGCTGAGAATCCTCTCGCATGGCCCTCCAGACCCTCGGGAACTCGAACTCACCATTTTGACGATTTATGGAGAGTCTTTTGGTTTGGTTGATTGTCGTTGATGGCTTGTCGATGAATCGGGCGCGAAAGTCACGTAGTAGAAGGGGGGGTTGCTCGTTGAGAATTCGACCATTGTGCACCAAGCGAGCTGCGCTAGTGGATCTTGGCGGCCCGTGCACACTCCAGGGCTGCGACTTTCACAAGTCTCACTTCCCCGGATCAACACAGCTTCACGATGCTTTGTAGGAGTCCAATCTTTTTCAAACTCTGCTTTTCATTGACTGCACCACGGGAGGTTGGTGTTGTTGTGCTGCGTGATGTTAAGTCTATGACGAAAAGCTCGCTTCGGAACGGCAAAAATGTCCACGTGAACTAAACGTGAGAAGACCGCCACCATGGGGTGGCTACAGTTCATGTTGCACTGCACAAAGAATATTCAAGAGTATACGTACACATTGACTTAGACACTGTCCAATTATTAAGATTTGATACTATGTATACTGCAAACTGCGACACAAACTCAAGCCACCCGTTGACTGCTGGTGCCGCTCGCCCTCAAGTATAGGTACGGAGCTAATTGCTGACAAGCACTTCGTGCAGAAGTATCTCGTTTGACAACCTCAAAATGAAGTGAAAAAAGACAACTAATCTGTACGCAGCTGCAGTACGGTCAACCTTCCACCTCCGACGGCATGGCAAAGTGCATCTCCAAAACTAGAAGTAAACGAACATGCTCCAATCGGACCGATTCGCAAGTATGATGTATCCAAGCACACGACACAAGAGAACTTCCCAGGGCATAGATTCAGGCGAGCTCTAACTGGTCAGAAGTCGTGCCGCCAAATCTGTGGAGCACTCTGCTTTCGACCGGGAATGTGGGAACAGCGATAGCAGACCCTCTGCGTGATCAATTGCTCCAGCTGAACTGGATTGAGCGCTAAAGTGCGAAGTTTTGCCCCATTGCATCTGGGGTGAATTCCCTCCTACCCCACTTGGCGTCATTTCCAAGCTCGTCGTACGTCGTATGGACTGCGACTGCCTATAAGTACGACCAGGAAACACCAAAGCATAAGGACCAGAAAACATATCTAAATCTACGGCGATTTGCATTTCAGAATGGCAGCACAACAGAAGAACACACAAGAGATTGAGAAGGCAAAGAAACTCAATCATGTACCCTGGAACGACGAGTACGAGAAGATGATCTCGGGTATGCTGTATGTATACACCTTCTGCTATCCGCGATCAGTCCAGAATACCTCACTGTCATCATTCCAAAGAAGTCAACATTCCCCACATTCAAGAGAAAAACGAGACATGATGAAATCTACATTAACTCTAGGCTTTCCTATCTACTTATCATTGTCCTAGTGTAGTCTGCAGACCTGTATAAGATTCATCTGTTTTCATACCACAAAAGCCTAACACAGCCCCAGCTACAACTCCTTCCTCCCCTCCCTAACCGCCGCTCGCTTCAAAGCCCGCGCCTTCGCCCACAAATACAACACATGGTTCCCCGACCCCGCTACCATCGACGAGAGCAAAGCTTTCGATATCCTCTTCGCAGAACGCCTGAAGATGCTCAAACAGATCATCGGCCATGTAGCTGACGATGAAATCATCATCGAGCCCCCTTTTAACATTGACTACGGCTGCAACATCTCCCTAGGGGCCCGGTTCTTCGCGAACTTCAACCTTACTATCCTTGATTGCTCGCTCGTTACCATAGGAAATCGGTGCATGTTCGGTCCTAATGTGTCAATTTTTGCGGCGACGCATGAGACGGAGGTGCAGTCGCGACGGGACAACATCGAGTACGGAAGGCCTGTTGTGATCGGTGATGACTGCTGGATTGGCGGGAACGTGGTTATTCTACCCGGAGTGACGATTGGCAGGGGAGTTACAGTAGGGGCTATGAGCGTGGTGACAAAGGATGTACCGGATTTCTGTGTCGTCATGGGACAGCCGGCGAAGGTGGTTAAGAAGGTGGCGGAGATTTCGGCGGAGGAGAGCGATGTTATGGCTTCTTAGGAGCTTGGGATTCGACAAAGGGAACACATCTTTCAACGGGCACAGCATCACCTAAGTTCCACGATAAGATTGTGTGGAGAGCGTGAGCTGTTGGTTGTGTTCTATCCGAAGTGACATCCATCTCGCCCTGAAATTTCAGTCAACTCAGCTCATCTATTCAAATAGCTCTCGCTGCCGGGAGCGTCAACGCATGTAGACCCCGCCCAACCAAGGAAAGAAGTGAAGAAAGTCAGCGCCAAAGCTGGACTGGAGCAAACATGTACAATAAAAGTATAAGAGCGTCGAAGCAGTATAAAGGTTCGAGGGAAGGTCTATGCAGGGAGCACTGTTCGCCAGATCGCACTCCCGTCCTGAGTATGCGTCCTATCCAACTGGACTTGGACCAGCACCAAACAGTTTGCTACCTTTTCTTGAGAAGCATAGAACTAGCAATGGATGAAGATACGAAGGATGTTAAAGATGCGAACATGACGGCGGAGGTGCGATCACAAGAAGTGTGGGATAGTGCGGGTCTATCCAGACATGATGTAGCGTTCGATTTGGCCGAGTAGTTCGTGGCAGAATACGGTTGGGAACAATGGCGGAAGTCTTTAATGGCTTAGAGGATTGTGCAGCCGCCGCTCTTGTCTTTGCTGGTCTTGACTTGCAGAGCGACACGGGCGGCTTCAGTGAAAGCTTCGTTGACACCTCTGTTCTTCATGGCGGAACATTCTAAAGTCGTTAATGATTGCCATGATTCCGAGATGTAGCTTCGCTTACCCAGGTACCGCAGTGCCTTGATCTTCTCGGCGACGCGCAGTCCTTCGTTGTAATCGATGCATGGCTTTTCGGGCTGCTGGTCGTCGGCGTCGTCGTCTTCCTTCTTCCGCAGATCACACTTGAGTGCCACAAGAACGAGCTTAACGCCAGGGCAGTTTTCTGCTATTTCGCCGACCCATTTCGTTTCTACGTTCTCGAGCGAATCCGGCGAGTCGACCTGTGTCGTGTAAGTTGCGAGTTGAACACCATGCTATCGGATGACCGTACCGAAAAGCAGAGCATGATCGCGTGCGTGTCATCGTAGCTCAATGATCGTAGCCTGTCGAATTCCTCCTGCCCGGCGGTGTCCCATAAGCTGAGCTCAACATGTGTGTTGTCGATGTAGATGTCTGTAGCACCGCGTCAATCGTGTTTGTAGAACTTGCGGATAGGCGCACAAACCGTGTACGTAGTTCTCTATAGTACTTGTTAGCGACATGAATAGGTAGTGCCAGGCGCGCCCTTACCGAATACTGTGGGCTCGCTGAGAGGGCCTCATTAGCCTCATTCGTATCTCAATACCAGGCACAATACTCACTATACTGTTGGAAAGTAGCTACCAAGAAGTCAGCGAGCTGCGGAGATGGCGCGATGGAAAAATGTTACATACCCTCTTGTGAAGACGTTAAGTAATGAGGTCTTGCCGCATGCACCGTCACCGCTGGAGGTACGTTAGCTTGTTCTGTCGCATCATGCCTCGGTCGCGCGAACAAAGAGGCATCCCCGCACATAGCAGACGTACAGAAGCACCAGCTTGCGCTGCACAGACTTTGTTCCACCGCACATGGGCATCGTCAAGGCCGAAAGGGGAGACTCGGCGGATGGTTCGTGTCGTCGGCTCAGGGACGAGAGGCGCGCGCGCGTTGGTGCAACAAAGGATGACGGTCGCGGTCGTGGCAGCGGATGTGGTGAGGACGAGAGCGAGAGTCGCACCGGAGACTGGTAACGGATGACGATAAGGATGTGTGAGGTAAGAGGGAAGCCGGGAGGGATCCAGATGCTGGGCTGGAGATGCAAGCGATGGATGGATGGAGTTGAAGATCCACACGTCGCTAAGACTAAGCCCAAAAGGTCGATTAGCACTGCTCACCTCCGCGACCACTCCACGGCTTTGACGCTATCCATTTAGCAATCAACACGGACGCGGGGCGATGTGTCTGCCGACTGAGCCAAACAATTATTCGCCCCAAGTCATCTTAGAGAGCTGTCAAACTTGTTAGTGTCCCTGGGGAAACGGCCGAGAGCAAGTGCCAGCGACAGAACCTCGGTGCACAACCAGAAAGGAAGAATTGATCGATGAGACTAAGATGACGGCCGTGACCGTGAACCGAGTTAAGGGATCTGCTAGTGACGGCGAGTGGTTGAGAAGGGATCTGGGATTCTGGGATAAGAATGCCCGGGGTCTGAGCCTTCTCCACATGCTGGAAGCCGGACCGAAAAAAGAAGGTCGCGAACTTTGCAGAGGCTGTCTACTGCCTCGACTGCAGGCCTACTGCACGCCACTATAGTCGAATGTTGCACAGCCTCATCTAGGCTCTGTACAACTTTGAGGATTCATAAGTGTTCATGTTCACCACCGGAGATTTACTTGAATGTCGGACTGTTAAATCCATCATTGCGTCAGTGCGCCGGGAGATGAGATTGAGGAGCCGGGAAATGGCTTGGACGTTGGAGCCGATTGCTGTAGGAACCAAATCGATCGCAGGTGAAGATTGCGATGACGTGGTTGTGCAATGTTGATAGGAATTTTGAACGCGCAGCCTCAAGACTGCCTGATGCGTTCTTTCAGAGAGAATGGAGTGAATGTTGCGATGGATGTCATGGATACTGCAGCTGGCTGCGTCTGGGAGCTTAGCCCCGCGAAAGTGGGGCTCTTCCGCAGGCACCTGCCGCCGCCTCATGTAGGCAAACAAGTCGCGAGAGCTCCAGACAACACCACACCGCAAGCTCCTCTATCCACCGAATTAATAGCATAACGCACAAGTCTTACTCCAAGTTGACCAATACGACTGAGACCCCACTAAATCCATCACCCACGCCACAGCCATGTCTGACGATGACGACTTCATGCAAGACTCCGGCGAGGAGGAGTAAGTCGCGATGATCTCCAGGCAAATTCTCCTCTAACAGGCTGCAGGTATGACTTCGAGTACGAAGACGATGATGACGAGCAGAGCGGAGATGTCGATATCGAAAATAAATACTACAATGCGAAGCAGCTGAAGGCCGACGACCCCGAGGCAGCCATAGACGAATTCCTAGGGATGCCCGCGTTGGAAGAAGAGAAGTCGGACTGGTAGGAAATACGCAGATTTGGGGGGACGAATGCATGCTGACAAACGTACAGGGGCTTCAAAGGGCTGAAGCAGGCAATCAAGCTCGAGTTCAAGCTTGCCCGCTACGACAAGGTAGATATTGCCATCCCCGAGCAAGACCCCTAGCTGACATACACAGGCTGTCGAGCACTACAAGGAGCTTCTCACATATGTCAAGTCAGCCGTCACCCGTAATTACTCGGAAAAGTCCATCAACAATATGCTCGACTTCATAGAAAAGGCTGCAGAAGACGCCGACGCATATCGCTGCATGGAGAACTTCTACGCCCTGACCCTCGATATATTCCAAAGTACCAACAACGAGCGGCTTTGGCTAAAGACCAACATTAAGCTCGCAAGGCTATGGTTGGATAGGAAGGACTACCGTCAGCTTACGGAGAAGCTCCGAGAGTTACACAAGGCCTGTCAGAGGGAAGATGGAACAGATGACCCGAGCAAAGGCACATATTCATTGGAAGTCTACTCGTTGGAAATTCTCATGTACGCGGAGACCAGGAACAACAAGCGGCTAAAGGTAAGGCTCGTCCGTGTTTAGCTTTGCCTGCATTATCTCTGACATTATAACAGGCACTGTATCAGCGAGCGCTCAAGGTCAAGTCCGCAGTTCCGCATCCCAAGATTATGGGCATCATCCGTGAATGTGGTGGCAAGATGCACATGAGCGAAGGCAAGTAGGCCCTGCCCAAGATACTGGCTCGGCACTAACGGATTGCAGAGAACTGGAAAGGCGCGCAGAGTGACTTCTTTGAGAGTTTCAAAAACTACGATGAGGCTGGATCGCTCCAACGAATCCAGGTGCTGAAGTACCTGGTTCTTGCGACCATGCTGTCGGGTTCAGACATCAATCCATTTGATTCGCAGGAGACCAAACCCTACCAGAACGACCCACGCATCTCCACCATGACGGACCTAGTCAACGCCTATCAGCTAGAGGACATTCACGGTTATGAGAAGATCCTGCAGAACAACCAGGATCTGCTTCAAGATCCTTTCATCGCCGAGAACATTGACGAAGTTACGCGTAATGTGCGCACCAAGGCTGTCGTCAAGCTGGTCGCACCCTACACCCGCTTCACACTAGCCTTTATCTCGAAGCAGCTCAAGATCTCCCTTGCCGAAGTGCAGGAAATCGTAGGCTTCTTGATCGTTGACAAGCGGTTGCACGGCAAGATCAATCAGCAGAATGGAACGGTGGAGATTGAGAGTAGCACAGACATGGACAGGGTACAAGCGATGAAGGAATGGAGCAGCGCTGTCGGAGCCCTATGGCAGACGGTGCTGAACGAGGGCGATGGCTTCAAATCGGACGAGAGCGGTTCACAGTTCACGCCTGGTGGTGGCGGGCCCCAAGGCATGAGCGGCTGGAATTCAAGCTCAATGGGAGGAAAGTCTGGTCGAGGCAAAGGCAAGGGTCCAGGACGCCTCCCGGGGGTAGTGAGCAAAGGATGACTTGCAGCATCGGTCGTGCGCGGTCCACAAGACGACCTGTAACTGGGTTTCCGGGCAGGGTACGGAGAGTGGGAGTTGCACAGTACCGTCACCGAGGCGTTTCTGGCCTGAAATAATTGAGACATGCGGTCAGGTTGCTCAAGAGAGAGACGTGGGTTGGTTCATCGGGTAGCACCGGGCAAGAGTTCCCGTGCACATGAGCGATAGGCGACTCAACATAGTAGGCGGGCAACGGACATGTTCGGTCACGCAATCGAGTGCAATTACCCACAGGTCAGCAGCGACGCGAAGTCGTCTGTATGTAACATGGCCTCGGTTTCTCACGGCACCCAGCCCAGGTCCCGATCGCGCGGTCATGGCGGTAGCCTGCCGCCAGCTAACGCCTCGCCATCTCGATGCCTGTGAGCCGTGAATCGACTATCGATGTGACGCATGGTGATCTGAAGCTTCACTGCACTCGTATATGCATCACATGTGGGTTTCCCAGCCGTGGCACTGCGCGCCGGGGAAGCGGGCACAGACGAGGATGGGTGCTGCAAGCGAGCCTCTCAGCTAATGGCAACGCCCACGCCGTGTCCGTCCTGACTCGCACGCGGCGTGGGATCGGTAACTCGACAAGAGTCTATCTCGGGTGCCCGGGCACTTGTTTTTTCTGTCGCAGAAGCGCCACCAGCCACGGAGCGGCAGAGCGAATCATGCCATGCAGGCGGCCACTGCAACAATACGCCAGAGGGTCGTCTTGGCATGTTGCTCGACGCCCTGGGTGCCGCGAGGATGCTGTGTTGAGTGCACTCGACGACGTGATACAGCTTCTGCTCGTCAACGCATGCAACGCCAGGCCCTGGGCTTGCAATTGTTCCGGTTGGCGGCGCTGCTCGAGGGCTTGCTACGCCTGGCGAGAGGTCCCATGTCGTCATGCCTGTTGTCTCGTGACTCTGATTCTTCCGCGGCTCTTTGCTCGGCGATTCCATGTTTGATGTGACGGAGCATCAAGAGTGCACTTCAATCTCCAGATGCTAACCCATGAAGACTAGTGGGAACGGAAATCGATATCACACCCCGGTGTTGGTGGGCAAGCCTAGCCGGGTAGTCTTGGAGCATGTAGCAGGCCTCTGGCGAGCATCTCAGTATGGTTTCTTTTGCGCGATGCTCCCTGGCGCTGATTATGTGGAGTGGCATTCCTCTTGTACACCCTCGCGCCCTGCCATGTCTCCCCTCGCAGGTATCCGGTGCAACTGAAATTGGCCGTTTCAGAGCGGCTGGACCAGAGCGTTGCAGACTGTTTTGGTGCCTGGTATCTTGACTTCGACTGGCACGCCGCGAAGATCCCCTCCTGTCTCTCCCATATATTGGCGTGTGCCCCTGGACGCCCGTGAGTATCACAGCAACGACCACAGCCTCCCGCCCTCCGCCGTCGGCCTCTGCACCTACTAAAGACGCTGCTGCCCTCGCCAGCAGCTCGCCGGCGAATTGTTGCTGAGATCGTTTGCGCGTTGCCGAATCTGTCGTGGAATCCTTCCATCCAATTACTAGCCACTGAGGCCAGTCACGCCCACGGCCATCTAGGGAGCCAACGGAGCGCGCACAGCGGGGAACGACGGCGCCGGCAATCTACACACATTCGCGCACTCACGCTCCAAAATACGCATAATAGCAGGACGAGATGAGCACACAGTCGGTGTTGACGGGCTACCACCCTCACAGCCAGCATCATCCGCATGCACACCTACACCAGGGCCACTATGGAGTTCCGGCTCAGAACCACTACCAAGGCGGCCTAGCGTTTGCTATCCGCGCGCCGGTCCTTGCTCCCGGGAGCTATAATCATCACACTGGCCACCATCACCCAGGCCACCAGCATCGCAACCCCCACCTCAACATGGCCGCGTATCCCTCCGACGACGAGTACGCCCACCTGCAGAAGCTGTCGAGCGAGTACGAGCCCGAAGCCACTGTGAGTCCTGTTGCGACAATATTCGCCCAAGCGCGCTGACCGCCCAAGGGCCCACTGGTGGGCGAACGCCAAAGCAGCGCTGCCATCACGACGCAATATGCCACCGCAGATCCCGTCTTCCAAGTCAAGACGGCTGCGTTGCCCGCCAAATATGCCTACTTCCGCACCTGTCGTGGCGATGGTCATTGTGGATGGCGGGGTGAGTGCCCATTGCCTTCCTAGTGCTGCTTGCCCGTGCTAACAAGAACAGCAATCGCTTTCACCTACTTTGAAGCCTTGCTGCATGTTGGCGACGTGAGCAAGCTGGATCATGAAAAAGGTCGCCTCAATTCGCTCGGCAACCTGCTCGCAAATATCGGCTACTCGCGCGATATCTGGATTGACTTTGCCGAAGAAGCGTTTGAGCTCATGAACAGGCTTGCCGACTCGCTGCGTGCCATGGATGGCCAAGCCGACACCATTCTCCTGCGTACTTTCAA